TTCATTCATTCATTCATCAGTTCATTCATTCATTCATCAGTTTCACCAGTGTTCCCTCTTTTGGAACTTTGTGTTTGGGCTCCTCCCCCTCAGAGAAACATCTTTAGCTTCAATGTCAATCAAACTCTTCACTTCCTGCATGTCACACTAAAAGTCTTCCAGTGGCTCAGGTGATGTTTTGTGTCACTTTCGTGACTTTTAATGTGAAAAATCTGCATCAGAAAACTTTCTTAGATGGAAACTTTATTTTGTTAAAATGAATCCTGAGTTTCAGCTGAGAAGACTGAATAATTGTAACTTTATTTTGAAGAAGACAAGGTGAGGAGGACTGACCTGAGCGCCTGGTCGATGTTCAGACCGGTGAAGTTAAAATTACTGAGATATTCTTCTGCCACCTTCTGGTTGAACTCATTACTGCAGACACACAAACAGAAGAGCGGCGTTAAAGAGAACGACTGACACGTGACAAACATGAGGACACAGATGGACTCTGACTTTTTGCTCAGGTGTCGGGCGACGTCTGACTTCCTGAAGCCATCCAGGTGGTAGAGGCGTTTGGCGAGACGTTTGGCGGCCTGCAGGTCGGCCTTCGTGCCGTTGGCCAGCGCGTCGTCGCTGCCACCGAGCGCCAGGCGCTCAGCTACATCGGCCTGCGGGTACAGCAGCTCGGGGGGGCAATTCACCAGACGCTCCCTGACAACACACAAACAAACACACATGGGACGTTACCTCAGCAATCTCACTTCCTGCTTTCTGATCTCGTTCCTGAGGCTTGTTCCTGTTCTGTTCCAAAGGTCATAAACCGAAAGATAAAGACTCTTATTTTGACAGTTTCCACACAAACACCCAGCTTCTCAAACAACACGTGAATCAGCGGCTCAGCTTCTGCGTCGTCATCATCTGAAGATGTTTCCTGCGCTGCTCAGTAAACATGTTGCAGCAGTCGATGAGGTTTAGCCTCAAACATCTGAGTCTATTTATAACCAGTGTTTGCTGCTGCATCGACCGGCGTCTCCTCAGAGATCAATACTCTTTCATTTACTCTCACTCCACCCGAGCCAAGCAGAATTATTCTGAATTAAACGCACCTATCTGTCGCTGGCGCTGCTGAAACATGTCCGTTCTCCATCAGCCGTCCTTCATCGCAGACTTTTCAAAACAAACTGGACCTCCAACAGGAAGTCAGAGTTGTGAATGAGAGTCAGAAAGTGGGAAGTGGTCGAACCACTGCATCTACTTCCCTTCGTGGAGCTTCACTGAATCAGTGACAGTGTGAAGCGAACAGGTATCAAACCAGCGTGACGTCACCCATTGGTTTGTTAGCCGCCGTTTTGAAGCCTCAGTTTGACATTTTGTTCAGCGCCATCTTGGTTTTTTCAAGACCAGAAGTAACCATATTTGGAGGAGAGGGGGTGGGGCCTGACTCAAAGCTTGAGGACACTGCACATCCATTGGACGCTACTAGCTGTCAATCACACTGTGGTATCCAACCCACAATACATCTGGTGCTTTATGGTCTATTTGACTGTAAATGATCATAATTTACGCATTAACGCTTGTATCGAATAATGTTAGCCTATTTAGGCTAACATTATATTTGCTTAGACCATAGACTGTAAATAAAAATGGATGATGCGACAAATCCTGTTTCCCACAGGGGGCGCTGTAGCATGTGATTGACTGTCTGCTGCAGACAGAATCATGATGGAGCAGATTCGATTTTTCATTATTGGGTAAAGTAGAGTGAATGAAACTGAAACAAAACCACAGATACACACAGGACATTTCGACTGGCCCTCACAAAGTCAAAGGCCTTTTTAAGGGTCAAGACTTGGTTTGAGGTTTAGGTTAGAGTTAGGCATTTAGTTGTGATGGTTAAGGTTATGGAATACACTATGTCAATGACCGTCCTAAAGAGGACGTGTGTGTGTGTGTGTGTGTGTGTGTGTGTGTGTGTGTGTGTGTGTGTGTGTGTGTGTCTCTGTGTGTGTGTGGACGAGACAGAACAGAGTGTGAGTGCGGATGTTTCTGTCGACGAGTCCTTCCTCCGCCAACACAACCCATTCATCCAGGACAGAAATAACCAGCAGCAGCAGTCAGTGAACTTCACTCGACAGGACGCCAGGAAATTCTTCTTTATTTTTTTCATCCAGCAGCCACTGGGGCCGGTCGTCCTCCGACTGCAGCAGCAACACTGAGTCAACAGACAGATCACTGCAGATGATGCTCTGAGCTTTGTGCGTTTAGAAACTGGAACAAGAAGCTTCCACCCAAGTGTAACAAACAAGCCTCAGAACATCTACCACACAAAAACAAATGAGAAAAAGAAAAGAATTACTTTTTCATTAAAACCAGCAGCACCGGTCAGCAGAGACAAATCTACCCTAGTAAAAAAACTCAACAGTGGTCAGTGAGCGACAATGACAGCACAGACCCGGCACTGGTCAGAGGTCACCGAAGGTCACTGAAGGTCACTGAAGGTTCAGAGGTCAAACACATTGATGATACTAAACATTTGATCCGGGGGGGGGTAAACTGACTTGCCGCACAATCCAACACAACCGAAGTAACTAGTGACCAAAGCTTCAGACGTTAACACAACATGCCTCCATTCTGCTCCTGTGGTTTCAGCCAAGTGTCCGGAAGCTCCGACTTTCAAATTCAACTTGAAACGAACCTAAATGTCTCTGATAACTTCCGACGAGGTGCCTTCAGGGACCAGCATCGCAGCTTCCGGTAGTGGACTTTCAGGCTTAAAACAAATGACCTTGTGTCCAGTTGAATTTGAATGTCGGGGCTTGTGGACCTTGATGACACCACAGGAGCAGGATAGAGACATGTTTGGTTTTTCTGTTGTTTTATCACTTCTGAAGAATCAGTCACTAGTTACTTCTGCTGCAACACTGATTTCTGTTAGAACCTTTTCATGATTCAGATCACATGATAAAACCAGAAGGATATAATACATCTACACCAAGACATGTTCTCTAAACTTCTAATATCTTATTCATAGGAGATAGAAAGGAGAGAAAAACGATGCCAGAAAGCAAAGTGGACTTAGACTGGACACTGAGCTGAGACAGACTCAGTCCACCAGACACAGAAAAACTTAAAACAACGAGTCACTGACCAGAAAGTTCAAGAAAAGACGACGAGGGGAAACTGAGATCAAAAAGACAGAGGGAGAAAATGAAAGAGAGGTTAAGAGGAACAAATATAGAGAAAGAGAGAAGGAAAAGAGTGAAAGGCTGTTATTATCCAGGGTGTGTCAGTCAGCTGTCATTCATCCAGCATGAAACCAAAACAACACACTGCACACAGTGTTTCTGTCTGTGACTCCGACTACAGCTTTTTAAAACTCACTTACATAGTTCACACAAATAGAGACAAAGACGCCGCTATAGTTTAGTCCATCTACTTTTAAAAGTGATGAGACAAGACTCAATGAGACAAGTATCAACAAGACTCGATGAGACAAGACTCAACGAGACAAGACTCAACGAGACAAGTATCAACAAGACTCGATGAGACAAGACTCAA